TGGCTCTAGGTACCGTTGTTTTATCACAATGCGAGAAACATACATACATTTATGCAGATTCTTCATAATTTAATTTCTTCAATTATAATAGAGGGCGGTAATATTTGGGAGGGCAACAGTTTGAAAAGGGAAACAGACATTCACAGTGATTCGACGCAAAATCGCAAAACGAAAACAATATTACCTCAGGGACAAAGCCCCTTTGGAGTAAAAACAGAATAAGTATAATCTTCAAAAGTGGCTGTTGAAAGCGAAGAAGAGTTTCCTAAGAAAATCCCTAACAGAAGTGGAGTGGGCTATTTTCATTGTAAACTTCAATTATACACATAAGAAAATAGATCCAAAAGCAAAAACGAATTTCGTCTTTTACCAAACCAGGGTCTTGAAACCAGTAATTTATTTCAGTCTGTAACTGCATTTGTAGGTGGTAGATAAATAAGACATCTGGCATCACTTCGAGAAATTTTTTAAGTTGTATATAGATTGCCAGGTTTTATGATAAGAATGAATCTTCACTTGTGAAGTGTTAAAAAATGAGAAAAATTTTGTGCTGATTTTCTGTGGCATCGCAAACTGCAAAACGTATTTACAATAATATGGAAAAAAATGCTAAGGAAAGTGGAAAAAAACCTTTAATTTTGGGTTCGCTTGAGTTTCTAAAGAAGATGATCATAAAGATCCTTACCCTGTTTCCGAAATTTAATAAACGCACATTATCATCATAAAGTCTACTTTTTTACTCATCATAAATATTGTGGAATCATCACATAATTATATGTGATTTCGCTGAATCTATTAATAAATTCATATTCCTTTCCAAAAGTGGGATTTCCTTATTGTACGCTTTATACAGATCTATGCTGGTAATTTTCATTTTAAAGTTTGAAACTATAAAAAGTTTTTGATTGCTTTGTTGGAAAATGACTTTTATTCCTACCATCCCTTAAAAATATTCATTATACCGTACAACACAGGTCTCAAGATTTGCGGGCATGCATCATCCAAAGCAATTTTGTGCAGCGTGCGAATATACTTCAATATCTACACTGCCCTCCAAAAGTTAAGGAACAGCACATTTTTGAAGGCTCACCATTATTTTTATAATGATATCAGTAAGATTTAAATTCAAAGTTTATATGCATGCTAGTAACGAAGTTTAGAAAAAATATGTACAAAAACAATAATTGCTCCATTTATTTTATAGAAAGGAATACTTATATAGGCGTTGGAGAAAATGGCAAAAATTGTAATTTTGTTCACTAGTGTTGATCTTCAATTGTTATTAGCAGTTTTGCTGACAATATCCAGGTGGGTCTATCAATGTCTAGGAGAAGTCGTTTGCCCGATTCGTTGAGGTGGTGGGCAAAAGACTTCTCCTTCTTCTTCTGTCCTTGGCTATGGGATGGATGGAAATGGGGATGTCACAAGCTGATGCTGGTAGACATCTCAATATCTCTTGTAAGTGGTGTCCACCCTCTATGGAATCAGTTTGAATCCGAGGATTCTGTGCCTAAAAGACATTTTCCAGGCTGACCTAGAGTTACAACACCTGCGGGAGATCGTTATTTATTTAGCTCTTTGACTCCGAAGGAGAAGTAACTTTAGTGTGCCTCAGCTCATGGCAGATCATTTAGTGGCAACAGAAACAAGAATCTCAACTACTACAGAGCGCAGACGCCTGCATAACAGGGATCTGTATGCAAGACGACCAGTTGTTTGTGTCCCCTTGACCCGAGAACACAGAGGTGCCCGTTTATGTTGGGCAAGAGAACACGTCTCCTGAACCAGTCAACAATGGACGTCTGTTCTCTTCACAGACGAATCCAAGTTCACAATGTAGAGTGACTCAGGTCGTCAGCTGATCTGGAGGGAACAACGCATCATATATAACCAATCCCACATCCAAAGACACAGTTATAGAGGTGGTGAATAATGGGATCTTTCTTGGTCGTTACACTGGCCTGCATGTGTTCCATGGAGGAACTTCGACTGGTGTGAGATATCGAGAAGAGATCCTTGATCAATATGTCCGCCCATATGCCGCTGCTATTGCTCCTGGATTTCTTCTGATGGACGACAATGCGCGCCCGCGATTTCGAGTTGCTGAAGAATATCTTGAAGGTCACGGTATGGAGCGGATAGAATGGCCAGCTCAATTCCCAGGCCTGAATCCGATAAATCATCTTTGGGACTACCTTGGAAGACAGGTTGCTTCTTTAAGTCCTTCTCCAAGGTCGTTAGATGAGCTTGAACAAGGATTACTCCGTATCCGATCGTTGCTTCCCATTTCTCTGACCGACAACTTAATTGACAGCATGGAACGTCGTGGCCGCCAATGTACTGTAGTTAGGGGTGGACACATTATAAGAACCCATTTTTGTGATGTTATCACCCCATTTTTTCTCAAAAAACTGTGATATACTGTTTCTTCAAGATTGGATTTCTCTGCCAAGAGTGCAGTTTTTTTGCTGTAATTCATGTTTGTGTTGACGCAAAATCGTACTTTAGAAACATTCAAAAAACAGAACTTTAGAAACATTCTATGTTGCTTCATTCTCAAATTAAACACAAAAGCATGCTGTTCCGTAAATTTTGGAGAGCAGTGTATTTATTGTCAAAGCGTTTATACTTTCAGAGTCATAAAGATATGGACTGAGCTTATGTGCTGGATTGCTGTTGAAGGAGTAAAAAGGATAGTTTTAGAATGAATAAAATATCTGTCACTGTATGCTTGTACGCCAGGCCATATGACTAAAGGAAAAACGGAGAACTTTTATAAGTCGATAAATTAAGTTTGTCAGCCGACACGTGGTGGCGTTTTGGTATTCTGGTGTTTCCAGTTTTTTCGATTTGAGTTAAAAATAAGTTATTCAGTGGTTATTTTATCTAACTGGTGCAGATGCTGCTGGATAATATAAACTGACGGTTAAAAGGTTGACGGATATTTAGGTGTTTACTGTGCTGCAGCTCTCCCTTGTTTTTGAATAAAATACGTGTATTGCCTGTGTCTGGCGAAATATGTATAATATAAATTTATATTAGTGTCAAATTATTTATGACTTCAGTTTGGTTTTCTTTATTTGCTTCAATAGAATATTAATTTTTATTTATGTTGAAATATTTGCCATATATATTGGAATTTATATTATTGATACCTTATATACAAGATACCTGAGAACTGCTATGCTTATTACGTAAAACTTTAATCTGATTGATATCTCAGGCATACGTTCTATTAAATTATACGCATTTTTTACTGCACTTCATTTAAACTTATTTCCTCGAATTATTCTAACTTAAATAACGTTCCCTGAAGGCAAGTTGAAAACACGTCAAAAGTTGTAAATTTTAAAGTTAAATATCTCTCTCAGTTTTTGTCGGAGTAAAACTTCTTATAATTTGATTTTTTTTTTCATAACGAGTATAAAACTTACCCAAATGTAAGCACAGAAATCGGGAGACCGTATTAGAAGTTAGATTTCGTTACTTGTCCCAGTTTCTCCCCCCTTTTTTTATTTGACATTGCAAACATATCAATATTTTCATCTTTTTAAGCATTTCTGTAATTGGAAGAACGTGATTCTGACCAGCAATTGCGAAAATAAAGGCCGAGTAAGGATTGTTAAGCTGTGTAAGGGGTTGGATATGTGTTGATGTATTTTTGTTACTGCGGATTGCAGTAAAAAAGGGAGGTGCGCAACTAGATGTTACAGCAGCCCCATATACAAAATTTCAGCATTCTGCGGCTAATCCTTTTTGAGTTCTATAAGATACACACGTACACGACAGACACGTACAGACGTCACGAAAGAAGTCCTTTTTGAATATGTTTTACAATCATTTATGGAATATTCTGACCATACGTATAGCTTAATAATTCCTACCTAAATAACTTTTAAATAGAATTATTAATTACTGCAGTATTATTTTGGGCGAATTAATATACTGACTCAAGCAATGATTTTTATATAATTCGAGTTTTTAATTAATTACTTGCGTAAGCCTCGTTTTTCTTGAAATTAAAAAAAAAAAAAAAAAAAAAAAAACTAAAAATTTTAATTCTAAAAATTATCTGTTATGTTTATAGTAATGTTTACAATACGTATTAGTCAATTGTCCAAACATGAGTTTATGACGGGCCTCGGTGTTTGCTGGCGTTTTGATATAGTTGTTATCTCGTGATGCCACCTTGTAGAGACATTAGGATTTTTTTAGAAGCAAGAGAGATGAAAAATTAGCAATCGCCTTCGCCGGGAATCGAACCAAGGACCTCTAGAATACCGGCCCAGCGTGCAGAACCACTACACCACGAAGGCACGCTAGGAAAGCGGGAGAAATATTTATATACTCCCCTTTTTAAAAGGCGACTGGGGTTTTTAGGGAATCCAATCGCCAAATCCTGGGTAAGGAGAATCATTATCCACAACCCCTTTTATTTCGGGCGCCACCGTAGAGTCATTAGATTAATTGGAAGCAGGAAAGATGAAAAATTAGGGACTGCCTTCGCCGAGAATCGAACCACGGACTTCTAAAATACCGGCCCAGCGTGCAGAACCACGAAGGCACGCCAAGAAGGTGGGAGAAATACCTTATAACCTATTGACAAGGATGAGAAGTTGCAGCGTCGTATGACCTCAATGCCTGGTGGTCAGGGTGATGGAGGACTTACGGTGTCGAATTGGGATTTATCGCATAGAAACCGAATATTTTACCGCGAGGCCAAAGCGCGCTTCTGGACCGAGTACCTGATTAGTCATCCTTACCGTCACAATCTCTTTTGCAGATTATGTTTCGTAACAACACTTCATAAAGCATGTATTTATGATATCTTTGATTGTAAGCAAATCGCTTAAGTGAAGATTACACTTAATTTTCATGTGTACGAGTTATGATATGTTTTGTAATCCACTGAATTTGTTTAAATGTGTGCACTTTCCATGTGTGATATGCTATAGTTAATTTTGGAAACGTTTAGATAATTTTCTTTTTCTCTTCATCAGGTTTTCCCCTAAAGCTCAGCTGCGTGGTAAAAAAGAAAAGGCATTGAAAAAGTCTGTATCAACGAGTAACGAGAATGATGCCGGGAACCGTGTAAAGAATCGCAGCGTGAGCTGGCATGGCATGCCATTGCTTGAAATAAACCAAGCTCCAGGAGTTGCTCTTTCTCATCTCTTTGTAAACCTTTCTGATTCAATTAAAGAAGAAGCTAGTGGTGATAATAATATTAAACTTTCTGCTACAGATGAAAGAAAGAAAGATAAAATAAATTTTTTAGAAAAGACATTTGTAAAGTGCATTAGGAAAAAGACTCCGAAATGGAAATGTTCTCAGTGTTTTTTCTTGAATCTCGAAACTTGTTCTGAATGTGTTATTTGTGCTTACAGGAAGGGTGAGAGCCCGGACTTGTCTAATTCTGTTGAAAACGATCTACCTTCAACGCCTACCCCTGATTCAGGAGTCGATATTGCATCTAGTCATAATTCTTCCGCTCAAAATGCAGACTACATTTTTCGCTGGTTTTGCCATCACTGTCATAATTATAACCCTTCTACCACTGATAACTGTATTTTATGCAATTCTAGAAGGAAAATAAATCATCTAAAAAACAAAACTCCCGATACATTTGAAGATTTGAGGTATTTTGGAGCTTATGGGATTTCACCTCAGAAAGGCTTATCTAAATTTAACGGTGTACAGAATTCATTAATTGAAAGCGATGATTGTGATCCATTCATAGCGGCTCATTTCATTTCACCGAGGCACCTACCCAAACTTGATAGCAAATGGACCTGTGAAAATTGCCAATTTCTCAATATTCCTTCTACTAATCAGTGTATTATTTGCGAGACAGCCAAGCATAGCAATGTTAGTTACGTAAGTACTAATGAGCTGACAGAATTCCTTAATTGTCGGTCTGTGCCTACTAAACGAATAGACTTTTCACATAACCGTTCGCCAAAAAGACAACGATCTACATCCAAGAGGACTAAAGCAAAACTTAGCCGCCATAATTCAGATGGATCCCCTGCTTTGAGAGAACAAGAAGAAAATGGTGATAACTCTGTAAATGTCGCACATTCAGCTGATGATGTTATGCTAATTGATCCAGAGGCTGAAAATGAAGTACCGTGGGCTTGCAAAAGGTGTACGTACGATAATTCTCCTAGTCTAACGAGGTGCGAGATTTGCGAAACTCCTAGAAAACCAAACATTCCTACAACACTACCGCGCAATGCTTTTAGCTTAGGTTATTTATCAGAATTAAAAAATTCCTTAAATAATAATAATCCCGATGTACAAAACAGGAGTCCTCCTCTTTCGAGAAGAAGTAAGTCGTTTTCTGAGGTTCCGAGCAGTGCGAATTGTCAACGAGTGCCTATGAAAAGAGGGTCACTTCTGAATGGTCACAGTTCTGATCTTTCTTCTCCTAAAACTGATGTTTTGTGCGGCGACGATTTAACTAGAATGTCTGCTTCAGAAGAAACTTGGGCTTGCAATCATTGTTCATTTACTTTTAATCCAGTTTGGGCAACAGTCTGCCAGAGTTGTGATACTGCAGCTGCATCTGTAATTAACTCCAACAAAATTTCTGACCAAAATGTGATAAGCAATGAAGAATATTCGCGGGGTGGATCAGCTGATTCTGGCCGTCATTTGAGCCAACTGCTTGGTGTCCCAATATTGGATCAGTGGACGTGTGTGAAGTGTACCCTGATTAATTCATCAAACGAGCGATTTTGCTGTGCTTGTGGTGGATCTAAATTAAACAGTACTAGTAGCAAACAATATAGGACACTTAAACCAAATGAGAGTTGGGTGTGTCGTAGTTGTACTCTTCGCAATCATCATTCAGTTTCAGAATGTCGAGTTTGCAATACATGTAGGTATGATAACGCTGATGACTCGCATCGATCCCAGCCATCAAATAGGACGTTAAGGAGAAACCGAGGAAATAATGAAAGTGGCAGTTGGGAGTGTTCATCTTGTACATTTATAAATGCCTCTTCAAGGGTTATGTGTGAAATGTGTCAAACGTCACGTAGCATAATATCCTTACGACCCGATTCTGCAAAACCAGATACCTCTGCTTCCTGTCAGGGTGAGAGTGAGCTTACAGAAGAGTTAAGAAACGTAGAAGAAAACTTTGCTCGATTGCAGTGGCATGATATTATCACATTTTGTAAACAGGTTAGTATGCATTAGTTTTATGTTATTCAGTTGTAGCTATGTACTCAATTTAAAAATTTTCAGCATTTTTTTTTTCTTTTTTTTTTTTCTGTTACATATCATAATCAGCAGGTCGAGATTTATCGTATTGACTCGTGTATTTCCCTACATAGCTTTTTAGCGCAAGGTTCTGAATATTTTTTGAGTATTCAGGTAATTTTTCCCTTCATCAAGACGTTCAGAAAACAAACTTCCCTAAATCTTGAAATGGATTGATCCACGTAGTGATTGTTTTCATCTTACTAATTGATTGGCTTGTGGATTTGGGGCGCTTGGCCTCTGACTGATGAAACAGTAATACACTGCTGGCCATCAAAATTGCAAACCAGGAAGGAATGATCTGAGGAACGTCAAAATCACATGAAAGGAAGAAGAGTTTGGGAAATGCAAATGATTAGTATTTCAGCGTATTTAGACGACGCAAGAGGGAGAAACGACATTTGACGGACTGCATAAAAGAAAAGTTGTGTAGAGATTTCTCATTCGGAAAGCGCTTTGTAAGGTCGGAGTTTACTCAGAATATCGTATTATGCCTCAAATAAAAAGAAGAAATGCTTCCCAGCAAGGTCGGAATTCGATAGATGCAGAATTATTGCCTATCGAGAGTGTGGATTATCGTTCCCTGATATCACCCGTCGCACAGGTCGACATCCAACCACTGTCATGCGAATATGGAATCAGTGGGTTGCTGAGGGTCATACTGAACGGCATGCAGGATCTGAACGCCCTCCCATGAATAACGCCTGAAGGACAGATATATTGTGAGATCAGCCCTGCAAAACAGTACGACTACATCACGGACCATTAGTCAGAGAATAGGCATGTTTGCAGCAGGCGCAGTATCCTCTCCTACGGTGTGTCCATGTTTGCAGCAGCGTGGACTATCAGCACGGCGACCATTACTTCGGCTTTCCTTGGTAATGTACCATTGAGAGAGACGGTGCGCCGAACGACAAAGCTGGATATAGAAGTGGCACAATGTCGTCTTTTCAGACGAATACCGGTTTGAGGGCAGTATTCTGATGACTGTATACGTGTCTGGAGGCTCCGAGGAGACCACGCGTCGCCTGTTGCGTTCGATATCGCATATGGGTCCTGCACCTGGTGTGATGGTTTGGGCAGCCATTGGGTACACGAAGCGCGCATCTCTAGTTCGGATCAACGGTAATTTGAACGCAAATCGGTAAATTTCTGACATCTTAGGTTCAGTGGTTTTGCCCTATCTTCGAGGCTTGCCAAACGCCATCTTCCAACAAGATAATGCAAGACCACATGTTGCACGTCTTGTTCTGACTTTCCTTGATACACAGGATATTCGATTGCTGCCCTGGTTTGCACGGTCTCCAGATCTGTCACCCATTAAAAACATCTGGTCATTGGTTGCTGAGAGACTAGCCCGCCACACCTCTGTTGTTAATACTGTTGATGGAGTGTGGCATAGACTTGAAGCAGCATGGAATTAGTTGCTCGATTCTATCATCCAAGCCCAGTTCGACTTCACGCCTTACCCGTTTTGCTGTTTCTACTAATTTCGCACCCTGTAAACCCCCCAAACTGCTTACAAAATTAGTCATTTTGTCTTCATGCCATAATGTACATTAAATATCTTTTTTGTATTTGTTTTCTTTCATGGTGTTGCAATTTTAATGAACAGCAGTAAAAAGGAGCTTCAATAAAACGAGAATATCTAATGTTCCCTCTGGTTCTGAAGATTGTTACATGCGGCGGAACTAAATCGAACAAAGACGATGATAACTATGGTGATGCTTTTACAAACGATGCACCCATCAGTTCCAGCAGCATTAAATTATTTGAGGCCTGTAGGGATTATCAGTAAATAATAACAAAAGCGGACGAGATTCAGGATAGAGGGAAGCGGAAATAAGATATCTTATTAGATATTGTAAAGTTAATATTACAACGTATTCTTAATGGAATATAGGTTTCTTTTAAATAAATAATATTGTGGTTATTACCGCTAGTTTATCCATGATTACTTTTATTTTTGATATTTTTACTGCAACCAGATCCATATGAAATTAAATTATTTGCATAATTTTCCCCTTCCGGTTTTCGTACGATAAAATTGGTAAAAAAAAGAGAGTAAATACGCGAATAAATACGCTATTAAAATAATTGGGATACTAATCACTTTATTAAATTTTTGTATTGAAATATTGACGCCCTGTTATTTAAATTCAACAGCTACTATTCAGATGTAATAGAAATCATGATGTGAAATATGGTACCACCTGACTAATTGATGAAATCTTGCTCTACATTGTGGAATCACCAGCATGTGCACTAAAATGTTTACATTAAAATCCATCAGTGTTAACGAAAGTCGAAATTTGAGTTGTGCCACATGCACTAGTTTCCAAAAGTTAAGCAGCAAAAAGAAAACTGATAATAATTGGATGAAACTTGATGATGATATTTATTATACCATTTCTAACATAAAAACACACACATACAAAAAAAGAAAGAAGAAGAAAAAAAAAAAAGAGTTATACAGAGTATTTACATATTGTGATATCAACAGGATCCATAAACTCTGTTAAATTCAGACATATAAATTGACTACAAAAGATTTCTCGGTAGTAATTATGATCGTCCCGAACAGCAAATACAGTCCTGACAGCAATGTCTTATTCTATTCATGATGTTGCCAATAAGCTGCATGGAAGCAGTACACATTGACCACGTAAAGCAGTTCTAAACCCATCTGGAGTTTGGGTGGGAATTGAAGGGCATGAACACTGCTCTCGAGAGGCTCTGATGCGTACTCAATGGGATTAAGTTCGGATGAGCGTGTTAGCCATTTGGAATGTAATTTCTTTCTCAAGATATTGGTGTACGAGAGGAGTAGTGTGAGGATCAACAGTATCTTCTTGCAAAATGACAGTATCTCCAATCTGTTAAGGGAAAACTGTTATACAAGGAAAATTTAGAAAATGTTCAGTATTTTGATTTAAGTTAAATTATTAAATATTAATATGAGTGAAAAAATAAATTGTATTTATTATTAGGTGCCAAGCTAATACAATAAATATGGCTTATTATTTATTTTCTGTATTTTGAACTGAAATTGCATCAATAAATCTTGTAATATAGTTTAGTTCTGCATTCAAAATGTCGTCTCTGTGCCTTTGAGCATTCAGTTGTAACAGCACATACAGGTCTTGCGCCCAACCTAATGTACTCCTTTCTATACAAGAATATTGTTAAGAATTTTGAACATATACGGATAATTTTAGTGAAATTATATGTGAAATTGTATTTTCCTGTCTAATGTAACACGAAAATCTAGATAAACGAGCTGTGCCGGAAAAGTAAGAATACAGCAGCAAATCTGTTTAACATTGAGCAAATAGGTGTAACGTGTGTACGAGCCAGTTTCCCTTAGAAAGTCCTCCACGAAGGCATCCTTCCCCTTAGGCAGATAGCCCTCGAGGCTTTGCCATAATTACACAAAAAACAAACAAACATTGAGCAAATAGGTATCTCAGTAATTTGGCGCCGAATCGCCCATTTTGGTGACCATTTAGCGATATTTTGATCCAGTCCTTGTATACCATACTAAGTATTGCAATTGAATGAATGTATTTGATCACTAAATTACCTGTAACCGTAATTCGGCCCTCGTATTGCCTCCCAGTAATTTCGAGTAGCAGAAAGTACTAGAAATGTCTCGGTGGGCGTGTGAAAACCGCATACAGCCGAAGACATCATCTGCTTCTCAGTTGTTGTTAGCTGTTAACTCAGCTTGAGTTCCGAGTTCCATCTCCGACTTAGCTTCGCTATGTAGTTTTGCTTTGCATTGCGTTGTGTTTAACGTACTTAGTAGTTTGAAGTGTCACTAATTGTGCTCTGTGATACTGTGGAAAATTCCAGAACTCTGAAGTGTTTCTTTTGATAAAATACGTTTTATCTGCCTATCATTGGACCCCTTTACATTCAGTCTATTACGAACCCGTACGTGTGCAACAGTATTAGCACCTACAAAAGTACCCCTTATGTTAGATGGAAGATACAGAGTGTGCGCTTCTATCCATATGGTAAGCACGTCAAGAATCACTCCGTAAAGCAAAACGGAGCTCATCAGTGAACAGAACAGGTCTTCATTGATTTTTATTCCAGTTTGTGTAATTAGGAGGCCAATTCAAACACTCCGTTCAGTAGGAGGAGACGTATAGTGCCTGTCACCTAGCACACACACCTGCATTCTGCATACTCTGCGTAACTAACATTCTGCATACTTTCCTTCCTGTAGAGCAAAAATAAGCGCGGATCTAAGATCAGAGTCTCTGCTGTAGCTCTGCTGCATCCTGTACTAGTCACAAATGCTGGTCTTCTGAAGAAATGGCATCCACCTCGCGTAGATTTTCGACAGGCTAAACTAGTAATTAGAATTAAGACACAATAACACGCCGAATAAATACTAATTCAGAAGTCAAACAACAAAAATCAGCGTTATATTTACGAAATTTTCACAGGACTAGTTTCGATGGTTTTACCGAACCACCATCCTCAGCTGCAAAACCGCAAATGAACAAGATAGGAAATAATGATTAGATAAGGTAAGAGAGCCTGGACAAGAATAAGCAAGTGGCGCCGTCTGTTGGTGAAGCCAGAACTAAAACTAAATTTCTTTAAAAGCCGAAGGCAAATTTGGATTGGAATTAGGATCGTTAACTAGAACAGAAAGATTTTTATGAATGTGAAATGCCTCTAGAAAATCCAGTTCTCCAATGGAAGATGTTTTTTGAATAATTTTGGCAGCGGAAAAATTGAAGGTGTGATTTTCGGACCAACAATGTTGAGCAACAGAAGACTTCTGTGTTTCCTTTTTTCTAACATATGCCTCATGTTCCTTGACGCGAAATTTGAAGGCTCTCTTAGTTTGGCCAATGTAAATTAAACCACACTGGCAAGGAATCCTATAAATACCCCAGGAATTCATATCCGAAATGGAGTCCTTGAGTAATTTTATTGATGGGAGAATAAACTACCCGAAAGTTAAATTTCTGCAAAATATGTGCAACTTTATAGCTAATTGATAGAAAGAAGGGAATGACAACAGAATTTTTATAATCACGGAGAATGCAGTTAACCGTCATAAAAACACCCTTGCAGTTAAATTCGAAAAACTTCTTTTACAGTCTTCCAGTTCAAGTAGTTCAAAAAATCTTCCCATTGTAAACAGCAAGCCAGTAGTTAATATTTCTTATGTTAGACTTTCAGAAGAACAGGAGAGAATTCTAAAATATAATTTTAACTTCTCACAAACCTGTAAACCCTCGATTCCAAAGATTTTGGCTCCTGTCGAAAAAGCTTTCAAGTTCAGTAAAGTTCAGATTCACAGAAAGAAATGATTAGGCATCTTATCGCTCATAATGTGAAATTCAATAATAAACCTTTGAAACCAAATCTAACTGCGAGAGAAAGAGCTACAATGAGCGAAATTCATTCTAACCCGGATATTATCATTTCAAAGGCCGACAAAGGTGGCCAGATAGTCGTCATGGATAAGAACACTTACATCGATGGTGTCACTAAACTCTTAAACGAAGGACTATATAATCCGATCCCTAAAGATCCTTCACCTTCGGACTTGTCAAAAATAAAAACTGCGATCAAATCTTCGCAAATCATTTCAAGCAGCGTGAAACATTCGCTTATCACATCTGTTGCGAATTGTGCCAGATTATATGCTCTTCCCAAAATTCATAAAAGTGGTATTCCTTTCCGCCCTATTGTATCAAATTTAGGTACTGCCTCGTATCCTTTAGTAAATATTTAGTTTCTATATTTTCCACTCTATTAGACAATAACATTTACACCATAAAAAATTCAATAGAGTTTGTAAAAAGGGTTAAAATCATTTCTCCTAGTAATTTACTCATGGTTTCTTTTGATGTAAAATCATTATTCACCAATGTCCCAGTTGAGGGTGCATTAAGATGTCTAGAAACCAGACTTCGCGAATTTCATTTCTCTTGCATCGAAATTCATGAGCTAATTTCTCTCACTCAACTCTGTTTAAAACAAACACATTTTGTTTTTCAAAATAAATATTACAAGCAAACTGAGGGATTAGCCATGGGAAGCCCCCTCAGTCCCATCCTGGCTGATATCTACGTGCATTATTATGAATCAAAATTGTTTGAAACTTTAAACTTCCCGGCATGGTTCCGCTACGTAGACGATACTTTTACCCTGTTTGAAGGTAATAAAGATGATTTAAATAAAGTTCTTTCAACAATGAATTCTATTGATCCTGCTATTCAGTTCACTTTTGAACTTGAGACTTGCAATTCTCTTCCGTTTCTCGACATTCTGGTCACACGTAGCAAGCACATCCAACTTCAGTACTACGGTTACCGTAGTCCTTCATCGGTTTGCCTTCCACCACACTTTAAATCATGTCATCCGACTAAACAAAAGTTAGCTTCATTTTATTCCTATGTTTTCCGTGCTCTTCAAGTTTGCTCCTCCAAACTAGCCCTTGATGAAGAACTAAATTAT